TTTCCCCAGGGCGATGTGTCTTATAGAGTGCTCGATTGACCGACTAAGACGAGAGTTGAAACGTATTTCGTTGTGTGTGCCTTATTTGACTGTAAAGTTAAAGTGACTTTCCCGATCCCGTACCTCAAGGGGACGAGATAGAGAGACGAGACGAGTTTCCCCCCTGACACGTGTGGAGAACCCAGAGGGAGAAGAATTTCCCCCTGATACTAGCATAGTCTCATGTCGTTATATATTTTATAAATTCTGAATACTTAATCGCCATTTTCGTTCCTATCAAACGCAGTTTTGGACTCAGTGTTCTTTCAACATTGATTGATTCAATGCCATGTGACCCCTCAACTGTTTCAAAGCCACGTGTGCCTCAATTGACACTGACAATGACATGGATAGTTTTAACATAAAAATATTTGGCTTACTATTCTCAATCTAGTTGGAAATATTTTCTCTCTTTTTATATTCACTCAGACACTTGATATTCAATGACATTTTCTTGATTTCCGACATTTCAACGTTGTTTGTCTCCATCAACTCCTATACACACAACAATCACGATTGGTCAACATAAACCTTAAGTCACTTTCAGAAAGCTGTAAACGTCACCCATAGATACCTAAAAACATATAAAAGGAAAACAAAACACAATTTCGGATTTAAAGATTTTGTTGAAAAACGTAAAAACATACAATTGCTATAAATATAATTTTATTATTGCCAAACAGACTGAAATATATAGCCTAGCAATATAAATGGCTTCGTAAAACCATCTACAATGACTGAAACTGTAATGACACCGGTTCATTGTTTCTAGGTAGACACTAAAACGTGGTGAGACAAATTACCAACCTGGATCTATCTACATAACTTCGCACTCACACAACCTCTAGTTTTTGCATAAATTCGTCGTGATTGTTTGATTTCCAAGAACAACATTTCGCATTTTTTTTATCCCTGTAGATTATTTTTTTGTTATTTTCCGGGTATTGTGGAGCAGACATGTTTCTGACAATCTTTCTTAAAGACAGCTGTTTGCAAAACCAGTTTTGAACATTCATTAATCTATATAATCTTTGTATGTGTCCTCAACGAACATCTGTCATGTTCTATTTTCGACTTTTAGCTTATCCCGGGTGGGATGACGTCACCAATAGATGATGCAGTTCTCCCGAAATACTATGGTACGTACAATCAATTCCTATTGAGCAAACATAACGATACGTATCACGTTACAATGGATCTCGACTTGGACGGATATTACGACATTGTCGTCAAGTGGGGCATCAGAAGAGTAGAAATTGACCTTTCTCGGCCGTACAGTTCAACTATCTCAATCCGTGGTTTATGTGGTAATGGAAATGGTCGCCTTGTGGATGAGAAGGTAACACGTGAAGGGACGATAACAACAAGTGATGAGGAATTTCACAGAAGCTGGGGTGAAGGAAATGGGTAAGTTATTTTTTAAACTAAAAAGTCGAATAGCCATGTAGATACATCTCGACAATTCAGATAAGTATTTATTTCAGAACTCGTTTGGGATTAGATCAAAATGAAATATTATTTTACAAAGATGTGTAATATAAAATGCATTTGTGTTGTCAGACATCGGAAACGTATGTATGTTTATGTCATGTAAAATATATTACAAACATATAACACATGTACTTATAATATTGAGATGTGTCATACATTTATTGTATACGTTATACAGAAGTGTTTTCCCAAAATATTGGAAACAAGCCAGAGTTCCTTCTGTATATTTGTATAACAAACCATTACAATTTGTTGGTGATATAAAGTACCTTGGATACATAGTGCCAGCCTCTGGAGATGATGATAACGACATGTGTAGACAACTCAGGTCAATTTATGCGAGAGCAAATCTTCTTTTGAGGAACTTTGGGAAGTGTTCGGAACATGTGAAATGTACTCTTTTTCGCTCATTTTTATATAGTAACTATTGCTTAAATGTATGGAGCAATTATACTGTTAAGCAGATGCGTGCTCTGCATGTAGCGTACAACAATGCACTTCGGTTGATTTATAAATTAGAGAGGTCGAGTAGTGCAAGTGGTAATTGTGTCAGAAGAAATATTTTCAATTTTTCAACACTACATAGAAAATCATTGTACAATTTTAAACAGCGATTGTTTCAGAGTGACAATAGTATAATTGGTATTTGTATAAATAGTGATTTATTCCTAAGGTCTAGTTTTTGGCGCAATTATAGACGCCTTCTTTATAAATGTTATTTCTGTTGTAATTTCTCTATGGACCTTTGAGTCTGAAATAAAGTATAATAATAATATGAACGGATGTGACTAAATGCACATGTTTCTGGAATATTAATCTTTGATTTTTATTTAATAACACGAGTGTACATTTTTTTTATTAATTCCATAATATCGTATGACGTTCTGAAAGATATGACACCATACAAATACATGTGTTTTAGGGACGCAACAGTTCATGATAAATGAACAAAACATCATTGCGAGAAAATCACAAATACGCGGAAAAACTATTCTGAAGAAAATGTTGAAATTGACTAGTTATTCTGCTTCATTGTTATTTTCAGTTGCGGTTCGTTTCAAAGATAGAACGTCACAAATCACCTGAATTCTGAGAGGCGACTAATACATATTATACATATTACTGATGTCGTAGAAAAGTGTGATGTAATTTGAATTAATAATTCTGAGGTGGAGGGTGATCACTCGAATGTATTTTGTGTTATTGGAGTAATAAAAGGGCTATTGGGAAATCATCAAGTCTCTGTGTTGGTTATGTTCTTTTGGTTTGCTTTTATTCTTGAGTCATAAATGATCCGAAGTCGGGACTTCATACTGGAAGAAGTCCGAGAATCAATCATTATGACGTCAGTAGTATGTAAAGTGGATCATCTAATGCGGTTCAAATAGCACTTAACTGGGTAGAATTGTTGATTCCAACACCAAGTCTTAATTTCATTCTGGGCTATAAGCAGACAAGCTAATAGTCAATATTTTTACTTGCAGCGATTAACATCTTTATGTTTCGTAACATTGAAGTAACAGATGCACTACATGATCATAATGTTATTTAAAATGAGACTGCTGGTCTCCGCAGAATGTTCAGTTTGTTGTTGTGAAATTTGCAGCAACACGGCTACAATGGCAACAAGAGCCAACATTGTTTTAGGAAACAGTTATTTTAGGTGATAAAATATTGTCACACAATTTAAATTACATTGGTTGTAAAATGTTAGTTTCTAGTTTTTACATATCTTATATATGAATGCATAGCTCCAAATCTTTCTTCAAATTTAGTTCGCGATTAAATTTCGAATCAAGATACAAATCATTCGAGAGAGTGATAGAAAAGAGGCATTGTATTGCTTAATATATTTCAGAAGCTTAAGAATATCAAATCAATGTTCGTTTTTGACATTGAGCTCTTGCCCAACCAGAATCATGTATACAGGCAATGAATGCTGGTATGACTATGAGTTTATTACGGGAATACCTCCAAGTATGCACGAAGACAGTACAGCTGGAGCATCGACCGACCGTTACGATGACAGATGTATAATAAGAAATATTATGTTTAGTAACCGCAAAAGCAAACATATATGGTCAGCATTACCGGGAGCAGCACAAATGTTACAGTGAACACGAGTATCCTTTAAGGCGTGGCACTCATCATTAACAAAATTGTTCAGGCCAGGAAAGAGACGGAAATTGTGATATTATTGCTGCTTATATAGCTACAGTATACAGGAACATTGGCATCGAAATAAGACATAATAGAAACATCTCGATTTTACAATGAATTAAACTAGTCACATAAAACTAGAAGGAACGCAATTGGAGAATTATCATTCTAGGTTTGTAGAACTCTGAATTACTTGATAAACGTACCTGAAATATTGAAAGGATGTTTCAACTGTTCAGTCATCTACAGTGAAATTATTATAAAGCTTTGAATCATCTAAATTAATGTGTAGTCTTCTCAGTAATGAGAAACAATACCGATTTGCATAATGGTTTTCATCGTCGGATATGTTTACAGTGTATGTTATGTCTGACAGATTGTGCAATTCCATATGCAAGTTGCCCCTATAGTAAAAATAGGCATTCGGCCAGCATCCATGCGATGCACCTGATCCAGCCAGGCATTAAGCCCATACCTGACCCTGCAAGTAATACATACATACTTAGTTTGTTGTCTTGACTACAGAATTACTGTATAATCACTTTATGGGACACCTCGTTTGATTGAGGCGATCTGGTTAAAATTACAACTGGTCTGGAGGCTTTTACTATCGGCGCATTTGCAACGGCAAGTAAAGAGTAACAGTGATAAGAATATTTCGAAAGGTGTTTACATGTTAGAGGCGGGACTGCAAACGTGTTTCTGGCCGTTTTTACGCAGTTACCGGTTTAATGACTGGCATCATCCATTAGACGGAAATAGTCAGAGGTCATCACACTTTTCACATTAACGTTTGCTAGTTCTTCCCCAGTTATTTTGAGACGTGTAGCTTAAGTGACAACCAAGTGTTGAAAGCAGCGATAGCTGGGATTTTGAATATTTGTTTTGTTTTTATAAAATTATATAATGATGTCCAAATCTCCTCATAATATTGTTCTAGATACATAGGTGACCTACATAAGGCTATATCACATACAATCTGGTGTGAAAACAAATGGTTTAATAGTCGTCACGGTCCCGTCGTTGCCCTTACCAAATACATATAAAAGGTATTTAAATAACGTTTTTATTTACACATTTTAGTGCATTTTAAATATATTTGACACAGCGAAAAAATGTTTACTGATCACGCTTCAAGCAGGTAAACAGGAAGCCAGGACAGGCCGTCACGCACGACCGAACCCTACTATGGCAGGCAACTCATTCGCATATCAACAACAGTGACTTGTTTATCAAGAACAACGTAAACAAATTCATGACTTTTAATCACGTGCGCGTGCCTCGGTTCCCTATATTCCACCATTAACAAAGCTCTGAAATGTTAACACTATGCATTCAAGACTGTCTGAAAGATCAAACGAGTGTCAACAAACCTGCATTCACACCTTAAACATGCAAATAGTTCTGTTCTTGAATGAATTGGTTTGATCTTATTTAATTTTGTATCGTGTTCCACACATCAACCATACGTAATATATAGCAATGCCTACAAAACTTGAAAGAATATAGGAGAAGACATTTTTTACCATAATGTAATTGTGGAGCGAACGGGCTTGAACATACCTCTTCTCATGGTAAACATTACAACATATTTCACTACGCTTTTCAAAATACGGAGAATTCCAATTCAATATTTGACTTATAAATATTTGTTGCCCAGAGTATTCACTATTCTCACTTTCAATGAGCTGCCAATCAATAACCTTTGGATCAAACCCTGCGTTACATTATTATTATTCTGTTCAACACCGACTTATTGGTATATATAATGAAAGCGCTCAGGTATATACACAATTTCCACCACTATATTAAATTTTGACTTTCAAATTATGACATTCATACATCAAATTAGCCGTACAATGACACGCGTGATCTTGATGTCAAACGACTTACAATTTGCAACAAAAACAATGAAACTAGAAAGTTTGATGAGTTGATGAAATCAGGTTTACAAAGCCTGATATAGGAGTTGCTGTTAAGTTTACACCGGAATGTAATTTCATTAACGTACAGAACACAGTCTCTTCGGGACTTTTACTAAGAACCCTATTTATTTCCGTCGAGTTTACCATGTATTATTTTTTGTATAATGTTTAAATATATAAGTAATATTTGTTGTCTATAATGCATAAACCTCTAGTACAGTTAAACTATTGACTCTACATATGCCCTATCACTCTATGTAACTGGACACGCTCTACATATGCCCTATCACTCTATGTAACTGGACACGCGTCGCGTGGCGGGGCTGTCAGGTCATTTCACAGACTACTAGTTTAGAGCCAAAATGTTGCCTGCGTGTTACTACCAATAACTTGTGTGGAAATCTATTGATTTTCCCATTGTTTTCATCCAAACAATTAACTGAGTGGTCCACGGGAATATAAACACTTTCCGATAAACAAGGACGTATAACACGTCGTTACAATAACTTGGAATTTATAATCAACATAAACTGATAATTACCTAGTGATTAGTCATGATGTTTGGAGAAATTTATTAAGTCACATATTGTTCTTTGTCTTAAATTATGAATATTTGTTTATGCCTAGTGAGTAAATGTTTGTATTGATAAAACTATATTTTTTCTTTACAGAATACCTGAAGGAAAACCTGATTGATGGGAACCGATGACCAGTATACACCGCAATATTATGCAGGTCAAATCATAAGCAGAGCTATTAATCTTTGGAATTGTGAGGGAACTTATTTTTGAGCCACAGCATTTTGAAAATGACTTAGTCTCATTAAAACTATATTGAACCTTTAAGGGCACTAAGACAATTGGGTGGGACATTGGAGCAATTGCCTAGCTGTCTGTCGCATTTTAGAGAAAACACTACAAATGAGAGTAGTGTTAATTTCAATTAAATTTACCATCAGCTGATTGAATGTATTATTTTATTTGTAGAGGTGGTGGAGACATAAGAATGCATTTGATAATAAAATGCAAGATTCTTTGACCTCATTAGGTCGTATATTTTTAAGCAACACATTTTTTAAAATAATAATATAATTAGTAAGACAGCAGAAAAAATAATATTTTTTCTGTTTCTTGTATTTACAAAATATGCACGCTATACCTTAACCACCGATTGATCGTGACGTCAAACTTGGGGTAGTTTAAATGTTTCAGTGTTTTATACTTTATACTAATTTTTGGAACTTCTGTATATGCCCTATAAACATTCCCTAGAAATGTAATTAGTTTATTGTTTTGATGAATATTTTATTAATCTGATCAAATACCTATCCAGCCTTCATTCACTTCTTGAGAGAGCTTATTTAAATCAGAAATTTCAATTGTTTTTGTCCTTGCTGTTTAGTATATCGTTTCTTTCGTGTTCATCGACTTGTAAATTTCCCTATAGTACTTTTGTGGGTATTATTTGCAATTCCCTCTTCTTCGAAAGTTGTTGAGGATTTGTATAATTTGGTATGCCTATGCACTTTTGTTATGTTGTAATGTTTCTTAAAACTCACACACGACCCTGCATAATTTAAATACATGAAAAACATCAGTAATTAATAAACATACATTTGCTCATGTTCTTTACTATTAGATCATATTATTTGGATAAATCTGTTTCGAAAATAAATCACATTACATTAATGCGCCTCACCACTGTAAGTACACGCTCTCTGCGTTACGCCATGTCGCACTGCCATAAGACAGCTTGAAATGACGTGTAGTGAAAGCGATCGTACAATGACAAACTGGACATGCGCAATTCGAATCTCCGACGTCACAGACAGCGTGTAAACACAAATACAGCCTAGTATAGTCATGGTCAGATCGACCTACCCAGTTACGAACTTCCTCGGAGACAAATATTTTCGCTACCATGTAGTGAAGAACACCCAAGTGTAAGTTATAAAAATTACGGGCACATATTTACACAAACGTCATTGTAATATGGCCTGTATCAATAAACATCAAACATTCTCTCTAATTTAGCACTCAGCATCATAACGTGCCAATTGAATATTCACCGTCGTGTCACGAACAGGAAAGAATTAACCGATGGGCGGTAAATTCGACCAAATTTTAAGCTTTTTGTATCATGCCATGTAGGTG